GCACATGATTACCAGTAGACGATTTCGCCTACACGATGTAGGGGGGAAATGAATTTGTCGGTGATCTGATTTTTGTATTTTGCTGAATTTATCAATTTGATTTCATTGTGGGAGAAGTCCGCCGGTGATGGTGAAGGGAAAAATCCGGCGGGATTTTGATGAAAAGCTTTAAGTTTTTTTTAATAATTGAAAATGATGTGGAAAATTAAAAAAATTAAATTCAACTTTTTTATTAATTTTTAATAGCCACATCACTCATTAACGTCAACTGTAAAGGTTGACTGCACATCAGCAAAAGTTAACGGCGACTAACGGAGAGTGACCAAACTTGAATTATTGAACTAATTTTAGTGACCACGAATGGACTAAATATTTGTAGTGACCAAATAAACGTTTTTAGTAAACCCAGTGACCAACCTTGCAATTTACCCATTATTTTTTACATCAAATTTGCTCATTAACTATAATCACATTACCAAATCCCAATCTAGCCTTCTTTTGATTATTCCGTCCAAATTCACTCAACCAGAATTGAACCAATTTAGTCAATGTTGAAGGACCTAACAGAGCAGAAAGATGGAGATGGAGATCGAAGGAAGGAAGCTGCAGAACTGATTCAGGAAGAGCAGCTGAAGAACAGAGCAAAGACAGACATAAACATTTAGTTTCTTCCTTCCCCTCCACCTAGCTTAAGCGAAGGTTAGAACGGCGACTCGGAAACCAGCACTTACCGTTAGGTGGAGACCAAGAGGCCAACCAAATGAAGACACGTGGCGTTTATCACTTATGCTATTTCAAATAACAGTTTAACGAACAAATCATGGTTTACTGTTTTGGTTTACTTTACTCTCTGAACACTAGTATAAATGGGAGAATCAAAAACCTCAGCAATTTGCGGGTTTCAAATAATTCACTTCTCGCATTCTTCTTCTTCCTCTTACAACCAGCTGCAACCCTAACAACTTGGTTTCTCTTATGGTATCAGAGCGGTGATCCGCTTTTCCGCGTCAAAACAACAAGATGAATACACCACCCAATAGCTCAGGAAGTAGAGATGGTGAAATTCCCTTCGGCAACTTCAACCGCAACGCTCAGAATCAACAAGCCCAAAGAACCCAGCAAACCAAGCAAACTTAACAAACCCAACAGACACAGAATGATGCACATGCTCATATCTATACTGGTAATCTCAAAACCAAATGGGTTATGTGTTTGGAAGTCCTTACTATATCAATCCGAGAAAAAATCTAGGACAATCTATAGTCTCAGAATTGCTAGATGAACACAATTACTCGGTGTGGCAAAGGGTTGTTCGAATGGTTCTCAAAACCAAGCATAAGATTGGGTTTATTGATGGTAGCTTGCCTATGTCAGAACGAACTCACCCAGAGTTCATTTTGTGGGATGCATCCAACACCATGGTGTTGTGTTGGATTATGAATTCAATTTATAAAGGCATATGTCGTAGTGTATTGCAGCATGAAGTAGCACAGACTCTTTGGGATGAACTTAAGAAGAGATTTGGTAGCTGCAATGCACTGAGACTTGCTAATTTGAAGGAAGCCATAGATCGTTTTAAACAGGGAAGTCTAAGTGTGACTCAATACTATGTACACTTGAAAGGATTATCCGAGGAATACCTCCAGTTCAACCCCATTATTGATTGTGATTGTGTGATTGTTAGAACCAGACCTTGTGCAGCTGTTGAAGCATTTAAGAAAAGACAAGAAACTGAATGTACCTAATCAAGTTTCTTCGAGGACTGAGGTCTCAGTTTGATATGGTGCAAACTCAGCTGTTGATGATGAAGCCATTACCTTATGTAGAAACTATTGTAGATGACATCCTGCAACATGAACAAAAGCTCAAATCAGACAAAGGTCATTCTAACATAATTGTAACTCTAACTCTTCTGCTTATCACCCTGAGCTGCAAGTGCTACTGACTGAACACTTCTTTTAGAATGACCTTTGTCTGATTTGAGCTTCTGTTCATGTGAAGAAAATAAAATATAAAGTGAAAATGTGCTAAAGAATCTAGTGATGACGAATGCGTACCAAGTTTCAAAAAGAAATAAAAGACTAATTAGTACCATTGTAAAGAAGATAAAGAAAAATATAAAGTGAAATGTGCTAAAGTTGCTAGTAACTAGTAATGACTAATGAGTGTCAACCCGCGGGTTGACCCGTGGGTCGACTCAATTTGACCCTGACCCGGTGAGAAAAACGGGTCGCACGCACCCGCCGGACCGACCACTACAAGGTACCGGGTTGGAGGTCAAATTGTGTCTTTTTTTCTTTGGTTTGCGAAATGCACCTACTTTCCGATTTTTCTTTTCGCCTAACTCAATCTTTGAAATCCTAAGTTGAACATTTGAATATTTATGTTATATAAGATTGTGTGAATTTTCACTATATGTTGGATCTAAGTACGATATGTTATTTTGGTGTACTATTAATGTTATAACTCATATGTTAGATAAGATTTTATATAACTTATGAGGATAAGTACAATATAATGACCCTTTCCATATTTCGGGCTAAATCGGGCTAAAACGGTTGACCCATTAACCCTTGACCCACTAGTTTGACCGGATCCGGGTCAACCCGCGGGTTGACAACCTAATGACGAAAGAGTACCGAGTTTCAAAAAGAAATAAAAGACTAATTAGTACCATTAATTAAATGAATTATAAGAGATGTCATGGGAGGGAGCCACACTCAATGAACTTTGGGGTTCATTACATTAAGGTCCACCCACTTAAAGTTTTACTCGTATACAAATCCTAGCTTTTAAATTTTGATGTTGCATATGGCAATGGGTGGGATTGTGCTGAGTTTTGTCAAACTCGAATCCGAATTTATGGGTATTTTTACTAAAAATATTTTGCATAAAATTTAATGGGTTTGGAAAATTCAAATCCAACCCAACTTGTTGTATATCTGCGGATTTATGAAATACCCATGTGTTCTATAAATTCATAATAACTTCATGTGAAAATAAAAGTCTAACATATATTTTCCCATACAAATTATTCTTAAAAAACACCAATCTAGAACATATAAGCACTTATCATACAAATTGTTCAGCATTAAAGTTAAACATCCATAAATAACACAATTAATTGAAAACTTATTCCTCCTTGTCAACTAAAGTTAAACTTTTTCATTCTTCACTCCATAATATTAACTTCATTCTACAGAATTAGGAAGAACAAATTAGACGTGTGAAACGGAATTGATATGACTAAACTCGAACCCAACCCAACCCAACCCACAAAATAGTAGAACGAGTTTAAACCCAAACTCGATCTGTAATCTGTCAATACAGATTTTACCCATTCTAACCGGATTGGCTCTAGTAGGGTCTCCGTCGATAGTGGTTATGTTGCCATCCCTAGCTGTTGTTTCTCTCCCACCGGTAGGGGTGTACATGGGTCGGGTGGTTCGGGTTTAGCCATTTTAATTACCCGACCCATGCACTACGGTTTGGAAAATATTAAACCCAAACCCACCTAAGAAAATTAAAACCCTACAGTTTGTTTCTAATTGGGTTGGGTCGAGTTGGTGATATTTTTAAGTAAAAACTCAACCCAACACAAAATATCTAATTATTCTACACCATAAAAATATTTTATAACTAATTAAAATTTCAAACGAATAAACCTAGGTGAAAGGTATCAAAATTCACAAATTATGTTTAAATTTTAATAAAATGTGATTTACTTCAACATATGTCTAGTTTTTTTCACTACATCCATAATATGTTATTCTATTAAAATTGTACACAAGAAAAAGGATTATGTGAATCATAACTATATTAAATCTATGTCTAAACTTTAAGCCAAAGAAGCATTAGATTAGGGAGACCATGAGAGAAAAACATGGCGAAAAATCTTAATTTTCTCATAATTATAGCTATATACGAGTACGACATAAGTATTTTTTGGATACGAACTCATACCAATAGTTGGAAAACGGTTTGGGTCGGGTACTACGGGTTGTGTAATCCAAAATCCAAACCCAATCCAAAAGAGGCGGGTTGTAAAAAAAACCCTCACCCAACCCAAAACCTTAGTTTTTAGTTTTTATGATAAATACCGGTGAATTGGGTTGGATTGGACGGGTATATCGATTTGCGTGTTTGTTTCTTTACCCCTACTCACGGCTGGCGAATGACCGCCATTGCTGACCGCTCTCACCCATTCCCCTGAGTAGGGATGGCAATGGGGCGGGTTTGCCTAAACCATCCCCATCCCCATCTTCAAATACCCAAACCCATACCCGCCCCATACCCATGCAGGGGAATGTTTTGCAAACCCATCCCCATACCCGTGGGTTTCGGGTACCCATGGGTAATACCCATACCCGTACATCCAACATTATTATACCTAAAAGTTACAAGAATTTTTTTTAATTATAACTCTAAACGAACATATTATATCAGGAAGTCAACAAAACACAGTCATTTTTTAATATGGTTCAAAGAATATGATCCTAAAATATTCATTAATACATAATATAGAGTATAATATTTTTCAAATTATTATGTTCTAACTCTGATACATCTATTAAGTAATAATTAACTAACATAATCTTGTTGACAAGGGGGAAAGTGAAAGAGTGAATTGAGAATTGAGAGAAATGAATTAGATTTTGATTAAGATGGTCACTCAATTGTACGTCTACTATTTATTTTATCAAGTTATCCTCATCATCATTGATAGATTATAATTTGATGCACATATTTTTTTTATACATGAAGAAATTCTATTGGTGGAGCGGGTATGGGTATGGGGCGGGGGAGGCTAAAACCAAACCCGTCCCATACCCATCAAAGTTTTTGCGGATTTTACCCATACCCGCCCCATACCCGGTCAAAGCGGGGATTCCCCGCGTTGACTGGGTTGGGACTTGGGAGCGACCGGATACCGGCGACCATGAGTTTGATTGACATCCCTACCCCTAAGCGAGCTAACCACACAAGACACAACTCAGCCACCCAAATTCCTTTTCCATTGCCATCCCTTTCCGTCGTTTGCCTTTCGCTTTCTCAATTTCCCCTCCTCAAAGTAATCTAATCCTTTCAAAATTCTTGCTAAGCCCCTTCCAAATTATCCTCCACTCTGTTCTTCTCCCCCACGGGGGAACGTCCAGTTTCCGCCTATCTTTCATGTGATTTGGTTTCCAAACTGCGAACTTTCCGCTGCTGCAACTTGTAAGATATCTGTCCTTCTTCACCAAACCCACCTCTTTTTCTGTTTGGCCGCTGAGAAAATTCGAGTTGTTGCTGTAGCGACTGGATGGTTAAAGTAAACTGAACTTTTGGCTTTTGTGTGGTTGTCTCTCTTGTTCGGTTTATCGTGCTCCAAATGTCGAAGCCAAACGTTGCTTGAGATTCGGAATTCTCTTCATTTCCTCTCCTTTCCCGTTCCCCCTTGTTTCTCGGAAGCCAAACGGCGAAAGCCACTCACTTTGCTCGCTCCTCTGTCTATTGCTCTGTTCTTTTCTCGTTCTTGGAGAGAATTTCAGGTATGGCGTCCACTGCTAATCATTTGCTTGCTTCTGTGGCTAAGCTCTGCTCGTCCTATTCTGTTAAACAGAAATATCGATTTTTTGCTGTTTCACCTATTGTGAATCAATGCCCTAGGGCGTCTAGCATAATCTGCAGCAACCAATACCCTAAGAGCCCTAATTTATCAATTACGAAGCTGAATTCTAAATCCCCAATTAGAGAGTTCCGGCTTCACGGGTCGGTAGAACTGGACCGGCTCGTAACGAGTGAGGATGAGGAAGAAATGAGTGAAGAGTTCTTTGAGGCAATAGAGGAGCTCGAGAGAATGACAAGAGAACCCTCTGATATCCTGGAGGAAATGAACGAGAGGCTATCGGATAGAGAGTTGCAATTGGTGTTGGTATATTTCTCACAGGAAGGGAGGGATTCATGGTGTGCACTTGAGGTGTTTGAGTGGTTGAGGAAGGGGAATCGAGTAGATTCGGAGACCATGGAGCTTATGGTTTCAATTATGTGTGGCTGGGTTAAGAAGTTGATTCAGGGTAAGCACACCGTCAGTGATGTGGTAGACCTACTTGTGGATATGGATTGTGTTGGGTTGAAGCCGAGTTTCAGTATGATGGAGAAGGTGATATCGTTGTATTGGGAGATGGGAATGAAGGATATGGCTATTTCGTTTGTGAATGAGGTTTTGAAACGGGGAATTGCTTGTTCTGAGGATGACGGTGAAGGTCAAAAGGGGGGTCCAACGGGTTATCTTGTGTGGAAGATGATGGTAACGTTCTGTTACCTCTGTTTACTTTGCTAAAAGGAGATCAGACTTTCTTGTTGTTGACTTGCTTCTAGCTACCCTGTGATCATTCTCCTTGCATCTATGATTGATTGACTGTGAGGCATGTTCTGCCATATCTTAACTCATGGTTCATGAAAGAAATATTATCTGATTGTAAGTGTAAACGATGCTAGTTTGCACTACACTTAGTGGTCATTATGTCAAAAAGTTTTCTTAGGATTTACTCTTTTGTGGTAGCATATCAAGTATGGAGCACTCCTCTGAGTCTGAGAGCTAAAACGGTACACTGGGTTCTCCTCGGTTATTTGTTTGTGATGTTATCAATCACTTACGTCCCACTTTATTTTCTGGCTGATATCTGTTACTTGTCAGACATCTCCTATGACTTGGTCCTTGTTTGCGAGAGAGACTATGATAAGTAAGCCTCAGAGGAACAGAGCTATATAGAAATGAGCAAACTAAAATTAAGCAATGAAGAGATGCAGGGCTGCTGTAGAGGTCATAGGTTTGGTCTTAGCTTTTGTTTCTTACTCATGAAAAAGGCTTATGGGTGTTCTTGCTTCTGCATGAATTTGCTCTTTTCTTCTTGGGTTTCTGATCAGGAAAGAAACGGGTAATATTATATGCTTCTACAAGCTTTTTCTTCACCTGAATAATCTAATACTCTTTTCCTGCTCACTTGAGCTGAAAGAGGAAAGCAAGAACTTTTAAATGGCCTCTTACTCTTTGTGTGATCAGTGACTTGAACTCTACTATCCCAGGTTGATGGAAACTACAGAGATGCTGTCAAAATGGTCATCGATCTTAAAGAGTCCGGACTGAAGCCAGAAGTCTATGCCTACCTCATTGCAATGACAGCTGTAGTCAAAGAGCTAAATGAGCTCGCTAAAGCCTTACGCAAGCTGAAAAGCTTTTCAAGGTCCGGCACGGTTGCTGAACTCGACCCTGAAAATATAAACCTGGTGGAGACATATCAATCCGAGCTTATAGAAGACGGTGCACGTCTATCTAGATGGGTAATCGAGGAAGGAAGTTCGTCACTTTCTGGTGCGGTCCACGATCGCCTTCTTGCCATGTACATATGTGCTGGTCGTGGAGTCGAAGCTGAGAGGCAGCTGTGGGAAATGAAGCTTGTTGGCAAAGAAGCCGACGGTGATCTCTACGACATGGTCTTAGCAATCTGCGCATCGAAAAACGAAAGCACCGCAATAGCTCGATTGCTTTCAAGAATCGAGGTTATGAGCTCTCTACGTAAGAAGAAGTCGTTGTCTTGGCTATTGAGAGGCTATGTCAAAGGAGGGTATTATGACGAGGCGGGAGAGGTGCTGACTAGGATGCTTGACTCGGGTTTGTGTCCTGATTATCTGGACAGGGTGGCTGTAATGCAGGGGGTAAGGAAGAGGATACATAAATGGGAAGATGTCGAATCGTATCTAAAGGTTTGCAAGCGGCTCTCTGATGCGAGCTTGATTGGACCAGCACTCGTGTATTTATATGTTAAGAAGCATAAGCTCTGGATTATGAAGATGCTTTAAGAGTATATATTGTATAGCTTTCTATTTGCTTTCAGGAGGGTACCTGAGTTTTTTGAGGAAGGGGATAGTAAGATACCTCGCGTCGCGGGTGCTTTTATGAGGTATAGTATATATGTTTTTATGTATGTATGTATGTATATAGATAGATAGATATTTCGACACCATTGGCCGACACTGACAGGTATGCTGGTATTACCTGCATTCTCTGGTTTGCAGGAATGTTGTATGTATGCTACGGTTTGTTAATAGTGGAATAATGAGTTCAACAAGCTATTGTACTGTGCATAAGTTGCTTACTATTACATACAACTAGGGAGCGGTTGTGGTAATCACCATGGTTACATAAGTAGTAATCACCATGGTTACATAGGGTAAATTGAGTATGAAAAATAAATTGTTTTAATTAATTGTTTTAATAAATTGCGTAGTAATCACCATAGTTACAAACAATAAATTGAGTATGAATATAAATTGTATTATTTAATTTTTCTTAATAAATTATATTTTAGGAATTACAAAAATCTGTTAATTACAATTTTTCTCTTTCTCTAACTTTCGTAATCTCGCACCGCTTCACTTCTGGTGTTCACTGTTTGTGGTTCCTGTTCACGGTCTTAGCGACCGTGAACAGCCTTGGTGTCAGTAACCTCAAAAACCTCTCTAGACAATTTGCGATTCACGGGTTGTGGTTCCAGTTCACGGTCTTGGCGACCATGACCTCAAATGTTGGACTGTGAACACAGGCTGAATCCTCCTCTTTGCCCGGTCTTTGTTCCTTTTCTTCCAACTTTCGACTCTAAGGTTGGTTCCACCTGTTAGACTCTAAAACACACTGAAACACAAGAAACCTAGCGTAAAACCAACCCTTTTGGAGCTCAATTGTCACCAACGTCAAAGAGAAACGGGAATAAAAGTGTACAATTAGGCCCAAATCAACAGGAGGTGGTGTGCGGTCAGGGAAAGAGGGGGAATGGTGGCTTGCCGGAGAAAAAGTGAGAGAGCATAAGAGAGGGTGGTATTAGGGTTTGGTTATAATATAGAGAAATTCCTTTTTTAAAAGATAATAATTCGGTGTGGTATATTTTTTGTTTCCAAATTATCCTTAATTTAATCTCTACCATCAATTGAAATAATTGGAAAATGCCAACATTGGTAAGTAAGTCATGGCATTCTGATGCGTATAGATTTATTATATATTCTTATCTGGATTAATTATTATTGGTAGTTGTGTTAGGGAGATAATTATGGTAGTTAGTTAGTAGAACATGGGAAGTAGTTCCATAAGAATAGGGTTTAGTTGTTTCACTTTGTCAAATGTTGATGTACTTAAGTTTAGAATGGATTCAATAACAGGTAGCAAATTTCAGAAAAATAGAAACCCTGGTCATTCTCGTCAAGAAAGGAGAAATATGGTCTACTCCCGCCAAGAAAGGGAGCTATCCAAATTCAACACGTATCATTTGGTATCAGAGCGGTCGATCCGTGTTTCGATCATGATGAGCTTAGAGAAACCATCAATCGGATGATGACATCCTTGGATATAGCGATGGCAGCTTGTCGTAGAGCCATCAAGGCTTACGATAGAGTAGGGGTGGTATTCGGTCGGTAACCGGTAAACCGGTTACCGACTTTACTGGTTTTCGGTATGCCGAGTGTGGGTAAGTGGGAATCGATTACCGATACCGGTTTGTAACCGGTTTACCGGTTACCGAATTACCAGTAAACGGTTACAAACCGGTTTTACCGACTTACCGTAAAGAGTAGTTGCGGACGGTTTTTCGGTTTGGTTTACCGGAAAATTATCGAACCGAATTTCTGGGCAATGGGGTGATGTTGTAATATTTTGATTTTTTTGAGTTTTTTCTTCATTTTTGTAATTAATAAATTATTATTAACTCTTATTTATAATATTTTTGAGGCTATACTTACTTAATTCCATTCATGTATGTAATATTTGTGAATAATGAAGTATATGTTATTAGTTAATACCTTAACTGGTCCGGTATCGGTATTACCGAATTACCGTTGGTATTTACCGATACTGGGGTCGGTAAACTGAGCTTCCCCATTTGACCCTCGGCTGCCGATACCGCCGGTAAACGGTTTACCGTTTACCACCGGTTACCGATTCGGTAATACGGTAAACCGTTTACCGACTTACCGTTTGTCACCCCTACGATAGAGTCATCATTGCACCACTGCCGCAAGTTGAAGTTGCCGATTCGGAAGAGGTTGAGGAAGAAGACACAGTTGATGCCGTCGACGTAGAGGAGGATATCACCTCTCTCAATGTGCTCTCGGTGCGAGCCATAGTTCTTGTAATGGAGCTTTCCTCGCCAGAACCTGTCGGCGGTGACACAGGCATCAACGATACCATCGCTCCACCACCTAGGACCAACGTGCAGTTTCAGATTGATTGCGCCTACCAAAGGGTTTCAAGCCATTCTCAAACGATGGACCAAGGGTTGACTGGTGTTGCTGTTCAGGTTGACGCAGAAACTCATATCTTCTCGATGACCGGAGTCGCAAACCAATCCATCGTTTCAAGAGCTACCCTGCCGATCGCCGCAAACAACAACAAAATAGCACATCGAGAGGCAGGGGAGATGTTTCCTGGGGAGGCCCGATTAGAGGATGGAAAACAACGACAAATGATTCCAATCCGATTTGTCGTTTCATGGAAATTCAGAAAGAAAATGGAGTTGGAGAACGGTGGTCGAGTGCGGCCAGAGCCCACGTCCTCGTTCACCAGTATTGGAGTTGAGGGAGGATTGGGACGAACAGGTTCCTACGTGCCACAACATAACGGGATGTCGCGACCATATCTGCTTGAGCATAGGAGGATTGACGAGCTGATTGTGCCTTTGTGGTATGGGGTTGATCCGGAGACGCCAACGGGTAGAGTTGCTGATGAGGGGTTGATTGGTTGGGTGACAGGTGCAACCGTCGCCCGAGCTGAAGGATACATGAGAGAGGATCAATCTCCTGTGAGGGGATCAATTGGTGTTCATGGAGGGAGTGTGAGGCGCGAGCGGAAGGTGAGGGAGGCATTGTTGAGACATGTTGATGGGGCGCCAGGTCTTGGGGGCCAACTAACTAGCCCTCATCATTGTGAGCCTGGAGGAATGAAAAGGAAGTGGTGGACTTGTTTCATGCATGGGAAAACAAGTGGAAAAAGTAAAGAGTACTTGATGGAAGCAAAGTTAGAGTTGGTTAATGAGAAGAATCAATTGGATGGGTTAGCAGGAATGTATATAGGGTCCTCATTAGTTGAACGTTCACTAAAACCAATTCTTCGGCATGTGGGTGGGGAGCAATTTAGTTGGGTAGCTTCAGGAGCTGTTGGTGGATTTGCTTATGCTAGAACTCGGGGCTTGGGTGGTAGTCTGATATACTTAGTGAAAAATACAGATAGAGACCAGAAGTCTGGGTTTTCTCAAGGACTTCCAGTTCCCTCTGCAAAGGAAGACTGAAGTGATGAAGTGAACCAAGACCTGTCATTGGAAGCTGGAGCTCTCGATGATAGGAGATGTGTGGAAGGGGTCGAGCGCAATTGGAGGTATCGCAAACAACAACCTTCTGTTACGTTGATCCGAGTTGCGTACGGGTTGAGTTAATTCACTAATTAACTCGAACCTTGAGGACAAGGTTCTTTCGGAGGGGGAAGGAATGATGCGTATAGATTTATTATATATTCTTATCTCGATTAATTATTATTGGTAGTTGTGTTAGGGAGACAATTATGGTTAGTTTGTTAGTAGAACGTGGGAAGTAGTTCCACAAGAATAGGCTTTAGTTGTTTCACTTTGTCAAACGTTTATGTACTTAAGTTCAGAATGAATTCAATAACAGGTAGCAAATTTCAGAAAAATAGAAACCCTGGTCATTCTCGCCAAGAAAGGAGAAATTTGGTCTACTCCCGCCAAGAAAAGGGAGCTATCCAAATTAAACACGTATCACATTCAAAATGACTTTATGAAAGAAAATATTTGAATAGTTGGAAAATTTATAAAGATTGTCAATCGATAAGGATTGAAAAATGGAAAATGGATTATCAAAATATACGTGGTTGACATACCGCATATGCATGATCAAGCGATCTCTACTTGAATATGCGGACAACTCCCAAAGATTATCAATCTATAAGAACTTACAAATTGGAAATACATCACCGATATAAACGTGATTTTGTACTTTTTGTAAATACGAAGTACTATCAATTACAAAAAAGAGACCCCCCATAATAAAATATTTAGTGGATAAATCGGTAAATGAAACAATATAATCAGGCTAAATTACACGTTTGGTCACTCAAATTATATAAATCTTTCACGTTTGCCACCTGAATCACTTTTCTTTCTTATTCGCCACTAACTTTACGAATCCTTTCACCGTTAGTCATCGGTCGTCAGTCTCCGTTAGACTCCGTTAACTCCGTCAGTTTTTTTATGACGTGGCAAACAAAATTGCTGACTGGACCATTAACTTAATGCCAACTCAATTTAAAAAAAAGTCGACAAGGTCAAGCTTCTATTCCCCAGATTCGTCTCACTGGTGAAAAACGTTGACTCAAAGTCAACCATTGATTAAAGAACAAATCTTGGACCGCATCGCGACGGCGCTCCCGCAGCCGCCGTCCATCAAATGGAAGAGATGTTGCTCATCTTTTTCTTTCGAGAGCTTGATCTCCCCATTCCTTCTCCGCCACGGCCACCACAACAATCGAACACCCCAGTCTCCCCAGATCCGGGTCGGAGTCCGGGTTCACTAACTTGTCAGTGCCGGTCGTCGTCGTACAACCAGCTTGCAGAGCTCAAAACCACCTTCCCTGAACTCCGATTCCTTCTCCTCGTTCCCAATCAGATCTTTCCCCGTAAATACAGATGGATTAAAACCATCCCAGCCCAGCGAATCGAATCTCTCCAATCCATTCCTTGACGAACCTATTAACCATCTGCTGCACCATTTTCACGTCGACGTTGTCCCCTGCGACGAACATCGAGTCAAAATCGGCATGCTTGTTGAGCCAATCCTCATATCCGCCGCCAGAGGAATGAGAAGAGATCCATTTGTGCTGTCCATGAATCCTCGTAGCGATGGGGAGATGATTTTTGGGGCCTCTCCGGTATTTGACGGAGACGACGATGACATTGGCCTCGGTTACCAAGGTGTTGAGGTAATTCTGGTAGATTGGGAAAACAGAGGTGGGTCTTGAGGTGGAAGAAGAAGAAGAACAGGAAGGGGAATTGGGAGATTGGAGATGGAACTTGGAATGACCAGATGGAAGAGCGGAAGGAAGTTTGGGAGATTGGTGATGGGGATTGAGTTTCCCTAATTTGGAGTAGGCTATAGCTAAAGCCGAGGAAGAAGAAAAGAACTCAGAGAACACAATTTTATTTTATTAAATTGACTTGTCATTAAGGTAATGGTCCAGTCAGCAATTCTGTTTGCCACGTCATCAAAAAACTGACGGAGTTAACGGAGATTGACGGCCTATGACTAACGGTGAAAGGATTTGTAAAGTTAGTGGCGAATGAGAAAGAAAAGTTAATCAGGTGGCAAACGTGAAAGATTTATATAATTTGAGCGACCAGATGTGTAATTTAGCCAAAATAATAATAGAAGGACAACTTTGAGAAAATACAATAATAGAGCGGCACTTTATTCTATTAACCCATACTAAACTTTGCAATTTACCTATATTTCTAGCTAGGGGTGTACATGGGTCGGGTGGTCCGGGTTTAGGCATTTTAATCACCCGACCCATGCACTACGGTTTGAGAAATATTAAACCCAAACCCACCCAAAAAAATCTAAACCCTACGGTTTGTTTATAATTGGGTTGAGTCGGGTTGTCGATATTTTTAAGTAAAAACCCAACCCAACACAAAATATGTAATTATTCTATATCATAAATTTTTTTTATAACAAATTAAAAATTCAAACGAATTAACCGAGGTGAAAGGTATCAAAATTCACAAATATTGTTTGAATTTTAATAAAACTTGATTTACTTCAACTTATGTCTAGTTTTTTTCATGACATTTGTTGAAATAGGCTAAAAAGGTTACAAATGAACGCATCCATAATAAGATATTCTTTTAAAAATGTACACAAGAAAAAAAAAATACGTGAATCATAGCTATATTAAATATATGTCTAAACTTTAAGACGAAGAATGCATTAGATTAGTGAGACTTTAAGAGAAAAACATGGCGAAATATCTTAATTTTCTCATAAGTATGACTATATACGACATAAATATTTTTTTGATACGAACTCATACCAATAATTGGAACACGGGTTGGGTCGGGTTGTACGGATTGTGTAATCCAAAATCCAAACCCAACACAAAAGAGGCGAGTTGTTCAAAAGAAAACCCTCACCCAACCCAAAACCTTTGATTTAGCGATAAATACGGTTGGGTTGGGTCGGGTTTGATGGGTAGGTCGGTTTGCGGGTGTGTTTCTTCACCCCTATTTCTAGCGACAAGCAAGCCGTTTCTTATTCTTCCACCGTTTTCGAATTTCCCAGGAAACCCTAGCTTTCATCTGACGGTCATCGATCCAATGTCTACCCTCTGCGACCCGACGTCCTCCTGCAACCCCGATAAGGAATCCGGCATCCGCATCGCCTGTAACTCTGAAAATGTCTCTGAATTTGCCTTGGGTGCTAACGGCGACAGCGGATCTGCCTGCAGCGAGGCCCTCTTCCTTTCCGAAAACAAAGGCTACTACGACTCCGCTTGCAGGCGTTGCCGAGAACTTGAGGCGATTGAGCCGATTCCCATGCCTGGCGACGACAAGTACTTATTTCCCTGTGAGCATGGAGAGTTCGACAAAGATGAAGGCCTAAAGTTACGTGTTATCCGCTATAGGAAGTCGATGGCGAAGACCGGCGTGAGTTATTAAGCTCTGATACTAAATTTCAGCAGTATTTTTTGGCTTTTAAATTGTGCATCTGATGATCTAAACTAATTGTTTCTTTGATCAGGGTTTTGATGTTGACTGCCCTCCACTGCATGCTCAATTCGATGAAAATCTACCCCATGCACATCTTAGCAATATCACTGGCTTCGACCATCGTGTGAGGAAGGCTGCTCTGTTCGTGATTGATAGATATAATGAAACTAAGGTATTGTAATGTTCCAGTTTTTACTTTTTAGTTAAAACAAAGGACACTTGTTAGCTGAAAATGTAATTGCAGTAATCCTGTGTTCCTTTTTCGCGATGACTTGGTTCTTGCTTATGCATTTGTTCCTTATATTTGGCAGAGTAAGAACTTGGCGCTTCTGGATATTTCCAATGTATGTGCATATATTGGTGGTCGTGTAGTACTCTTTATAACCTTTGAAGGATACAATCCTGAGAAGCCTGATAATTATGTGGAGACTTACCAAGCTGTGGTTTCCTGCGTTCATCGAAGTAATGAAAAAGTGGTTAAGATATTCAGGAGGAAATCAGATGGAAAAGGTAACTCCTTTGCTTTGTTTGATGTTTGTTACCGTACCTGAGGTTTTCTTCTGTTTTGAACAGGTTAGACTGTTAACTAGGATGTGCATTGTTGCTCACTGAGTGTTCATCCATTGAAAACTCATGCAGTTGAACATAAGATGGTAAGGTGCAGTCGTGTGCCCATATGTTTCTGTACAGTTGATAAGGATTCCATTCACATCCTTCTTTTCCCCTTTGGGGTTTCTCCTTGCTTGGCTTGTTAACACAGTCATGCAATCCTGTACTTACTCCCTGAAGCAAAGCGTAGGCTATCACTTTGGCCTTTTGGTCAAGTTGATTGTGTTTGTTTCAGCTACATCCAGAACGTGAATGAACTGTAAATTGATTGAAAGTATTCTTAGTTTTATGTTTGATTTTCTTGGAACAAATAATGGGGAAAAAATCCAAAACTACAACGGTTTAAAAAAAAAATTACAAAAATACCACCCACTTCAAATAATTTCCAAAAATACCATCGTTTATATAAAACCGCGCCTCTAATGAGCGGTTTTGAATGAAACCGCGCCTCCAGGTAGCGGTTATCATTATAACCGCGCCTCCAAGAGGCATTTTTAATTTCCAGAAAAAACCGCTTCTAGAAGGCGCGGTTATAGGCTACTAACCCTACCACAAAACGCTTTAAGAGGGAACGTTTAAACGTCGGCATTACAAACCGCCTCACCAAGCGGCGGTTTATATTGTCAGGACATAAACCACTGCCCCATGGCGCGGTTTGTGCCTGGTCACCCGACAGCAAACATGTCGGACATGTCGGCATGCAGGGGGTAGGGCTGCATGGCAGACCTAAAACCGCTCCCCCCAGCGGTTTTGCTGCAAAATTTGCCTATAAAAGGCTGTTTCAGAGAACTCAATTCTTCACACCTCCTCCTCTTCCTTCTTAAAATTTCAGCTTTGCACCTTTAAATTATTTAGTTTTTGTGATTAACGTTAATTTGTAAGTTTGTTTCGTAAATACTTTTCATTGTCCTTTGTGATTTTATGTTAGTAACTTAATTACTTTTCATTGTCCTTCGTGTCTTTTGTCATTGGGCTAATACCACTAAAAATACCAACTTTTAGTGACTTTGCCATTTATAACAAAACTATTGATATGACATTTGTATACCAAATCGTCTTTTCCGTTAGTTTGACTGTTATATTACTGGGAGACTAGTCAATGCCTATCTGTCACGCTGATGTGGAAATTATAACCCACCCATTTAATTTTTGCATTTAATTAGAAGAAAAAGATAAAGAAAAGGATAAAAGTAAAATAGAAAAGGGGAAATTATTCACCCTGCCTCTCTCCGCCACTGTTCTCCTTCCCCAAATCTCATCGACAGATCTGGATTCATCTCATCTATAATAGAAAAACAGGCAGATTAGACAGGTTAAGCGGAATCGGGAGGCGGAGGGAGATTTAGATCCAGATCCAGGGATCCGGTTGTCGTTGTCATCGACGCCGGGTTCGGATAGCTGGTTTGGTGATGGTCGTCGTCATCGTCGACGTCGGGTTCGGATCACCGCTCCTGGAAATCCACCAGTGGAGAAAGCCAAGGAAGTCACTAGGATAGGTTGTGGATGCGAGATTGGAGAGCCGAAAGAAAATTCCTTCTCTGGAACGAAGATTCCTCCCGCGGCTGCAGCGTCATCATCGTCGAAGTGTGTCGGCCGTAAGAACAATAGAGCGGTGAGCCAGGGGATCCACTTCCGTGATTGGGAGGCGGCGAGAGATGGAGGTCGTTGTCTCCATTGAAGAAGCTAAATCGTCGCTCAGCCTCGTTGCGCGTCGTTGCGTTGTCGCCGCTCAGCCTCTGCCCAGAGCCCAAGGAAGAAGCTAAATCGCACGGCGCATCGAGGAGTTGGGATCGTCCGAAGAAGCAGATGTGGCATGACGGCGTCGGCGACGAGAGGAGTGAACCCTGGCAGTAAGGATTGCAGAGGAAGACAGAGGGCCATTGTTTAGAAAATATTTATTTAAAAATAAATTAATAAAATAAATTAATATTTTTTAAATATTAATTTCCTACATGGCACCTATGTAGACAACACCTAAAAGCCACATAAGCAATAGTCAAATATAAGTTGACCACCGTCAGGTCAACCATCAATTCTAACGGTCAACAGAAATTCGCGTAACACAAATGACGCAAACCTCTAATACATTGGAATATTTTTGTGTTTATTGAAAGTACGTAATATAAATGACACTTTCGCTAAAGAATGGTATTTCCAATGGTATTAGCCCTTTGTCATTTTATGTTAGTAACTTAATTACTTTTCATTGTCATTTGTGATTTTATGTTAGTAACTTAATTACTTTTCATTGTCCTTTGTGATGTTATGTTAGTAACTTGTATTACTTAGGGATGGCAATGGGTCGGGTCGGGGACGGATAGTGCATATCCGTTATCCTACCCAAAGTAGTTCGGGTTTTACCCATATCCATACCCACATATGAAACGGGTAGAAAATTAAAACCATGCCCATACCCGTTCGGATTTCGAGTATCCACGGTTATCCATGATTAATGATTTTTCTTCATAACTCCAACTAATATGTTAACATTCACACGTATTCTCACATTACGCAAGAAGAAAAGTATGACAATAATTCACTAGAATGAAGAAAATTAATTAAAACAACACAATTTTATGAAAATATTATATCTATATATCAAATATAAAATATGTTAGAGAAAAATAATGACTATTTCTAGACATCGATCCGGCAAGTGTCACTCCACTATATGGTGGCAGATTAGTGGAACTCGGGTGCATCATTGACCGGGATGTAACGGGAATTTGTGGACGTGATGCGCAACAATCTGTTCTGGATACGGATTGAACTTAAGCTACGAAGGTTTATAAAAAAAAATCATTAATCAACATAATAATATAAGTTAAAAAAGTAGGTTTTAATAGCATATTATGATGCTCACCTTTGCTTCTCAAAGGCGATCAAGCCTCCTACGATACTCCTCAAACTTATGCGCTCCTAGGTTGTCGCATGTTTTTTCACCAAGCCACCTATTCAATCCAAAAAGTATGGAGTGTTAATACATAATACCCGGTTCGTTATAAAATACCCAATTAGTAAAAAATTGTGAGAACTATGAGTGGGATAGAAAACATTTACCTACAACCATAAGCTTCATGTCGTAGGGGATGGTCGGGACCCCATTCCTTGTCGGGTTCAACCTTCGGCGCAATCCATGGCAAATGCTCCCAAGCCCAAAATTGGACGATGAACATGGCCCCATCAATCTCCTTCACCGCTCTCGCACTAGCATTACATAGGGATCGATAGAGATGAGCTAGGCAAGCAGATGCCCAGCTCAAGTTTCCCATATCATCCCAACTACCAAGTATGATCTTCAACCATGAATTGCTGATTAGGTTGTTGGATTTCTTGGGGAAGAAAACTCCTCCGATCATGCCGAGGATTTAGATACGTGCATAAATGTCTTTATCACGCTCTGAACTTTCCTCCGTGAGGGAAATGCCTCCGAACTCAGGGTTGTGCTTACGCCTGATCTCCGCTGTCAACCACGTGATGGATACTTGGCCCTTGGACAATGGTGGATGACCATCCGCATCGTGATCTCCCTTTTCTGGCGGACACAACCCGGTGACCGTCCATATAAAATGTTGCCAACCACTCATATTGGCAACAACTTTAGGTGGTGGCGTAGAGTCCACACAAACAACATCACCATCGATGGGGAGATCAGTTAGGATGGCGATGTCCTTAAGTGTGATGGTGCACTCGCCTTCACGAAAATTGAAGCAGTGTGTCTCCTTTCGCCATGTTTCTACCATCGTCGTGATGAGTTGGCGGTCAATCTTGATTCCATTGAAATGCCTAATCGAATCCAATCTTGCCCTTTTTAGAAAGGGCAAGATGACGTCGTTCCATTCAAGCACATTCGTTGTGCCCCTATAGCGGACTATATGGTATGCATCCTAGAGAAGAATTTAAATTTCACTATAAGTTGATTTATACATATATAAATATATTATAAGAAACAATTTATATATAAATCAAGGTTGTCTTAGAGAAATATACATTATCTAATAAATATTTATTTTAACATAACTAAAATAATTTTCTAAGATGCAATATTAATTAAATCAAGCGAGGTTTTAGAAATATACATTATCTAATTAAATATTAATTTTAACATAACTAAATAATATTATAAGATTCAATATTAATTAAATCAAGGTTGTTTTAGAGAAATATACATTATATAATAAACATTAATATTAACATACCTAAATAATAATTAAAAGTACACTCGTAAGACTCTTAGGAGAGGTATACTTCTCCTTAGAAACACAGTCTTTTTGACAGAAAAAGGGGGATCCGAGGATCGCTTAGAACCCGATTTTCCCAGGTCATGGGGGGATCATTACGATCGCTTAAGTCCCCATTTCCTTAGACATGCATTTCTTTATAAAGAGTCTATATAAGTGTTGTATTGTATTGATTTAAATTATTGAAAATAATCAATACGATTAACAATTAAGTAAATTATTGTACAAACAAATAAATTACTTTAACAAAATACAAATTACAAGTGATGATAAATAATATGTACCTTGTGGTCGTTCCAAACGTCTCTTGAACGATGATTTGCTTGATCGTATAAAACTGTCGGATCAATCGGTCCTTGATCAACATAATATCGTTGATTGAAAATATCAACATCCGACCCAACCTACGATAGCATAACAATAACATAAATCATTAGTATATAAATTAAATAAATCATTATAACAACAACAACAATTGGGAAAAATGAGTACGTACCGTTTGATAATCATCATAAAAAAGGCCCTCTTCTTGAGCGAAATCAGCCATTCTCTCGGAATCCGGACAGAGGTTCGACGGTTTTTTAATGAAAACCAAAGAAAAAGTTTTTTGGAGGCAGATCTGACTTAGCCGCAACCAACAAAAAAACTAATTCTAAGGTTTTTGGGTGGGGAGGGGGATGGGTAGAGAGAAGTTAGAGGGAGAGAGGGTGGAATGTGGTTGGTGTGCAGAAAAATGAAGGGGGAGGGGGGGTTTATATAGGTGAGAAACCGCGTGGGGGAGGGCCGGTTCAGTCATTTTACCCCACTGAAAATCGCGCCTCCAGCAGGCGGTTTGCGTTTCCCAACAGTAAAATCGCGCCTCGGTGGAGCGATTTCCGTGGGCGACGCGGATCGCTGAGTTGGCACGCGTTTTGGCCGTCAGTACGCTCCTCCAACGGGCGGTTTGATGCACCGCCACGTGGCCACGCGTTTTGACAGCCATGCAAGGTCAAACCGCGCCTTGGAGGCGCGTTTTGTTCTATAACCGCTGCCTGGAGGCGCGGTTTCATTAAAAACCGCTCATTAAATGTGTGATTTTATATAAACGATGGTATTTTTGGAAATTATTTGGAGTGAGTGGTATTTTTGTAATTTTTTTTAAACAGTGGTAGTTTTGGATTTTTTCCCAAATAATGATGTTGTTTCCATTGCGTGTTTTAGTGTTTTTTGTGGATTGGCCTGGATATGGCTTCTTTTGCTTGCTCTGTCCTGATAATTGCTTACGCAATCTATTGGATTTGATGTTAATCATTTTTCCCCCTAATCAAAGTTGCCTCTGTGCAGATCTGCTCGATCCCGATGAATTCTATGTTGCCTACTTAGAATATTGGACATCCTTGTACTATGGAGAGAAGAAAGTAACTGGGGTCGAGTGATCTTGGGATTGTAGTCACTTCGCTCTGTCTGGAATCATAAGGCCTAAATTAGCTGTTATGTTTAACTCTGGAGCAGATACATCATACCTCTCTCTATCTATATCTATCTATCTATCTACTATGTTTTCCTATGTAGCCTATGAATCCTTACGTTTTAACTGAGAAGTGGAGGTCTTAAAGTTTATGGTGATGTTGCATCTTAAGTTGCTGTCACTAGGAATTTGAAGATCTTAGTTTAAATATGCTGGAATCATAAGGGATAAGGCCTAAACTAGGGTCGAGTGATCTTGGGAAAAAATTCAAAAGTACCACTGTTTAAAAAAAAAAATTCAAACATACCACCTTTTTCAAAGACCACCACCTCACCCTGCGGTTTACATGAAAACCGCTGGGTGGGGCACGGTTTTCTATGCAAACCGCTGGGCGAAGGGGCGGTTTTGGAAACCTTCTCTCACTTGGGTATGAAGAACCCTTGTTCCATGTGTTAGGGATCTTGATTGTAATGACTTAGGATTGTTATACTGATTGATTTTAGTCGATTGATGCATGATTTATTGAGTCAATTAAAGTCTGGTCATCTTTTCTTGATTTCTGCTGCAACCTGAGATCGATAGAATATGATTAGGTTGTTAGAGCTTCATCAATCGGTAGTGGTAGATTGATTATACGAGAGTTAATCGATTTACTGCTTTGTACTGGAATCCAATTCCAGTAGTGGAGTTCTGCGTTCATAGCCTCAGCTTTCTATCCCGGTGAAGACTAGTCGTCTCCCGGGTAGTTGGACTGAGAGGGCTTGGTCAACTTAAGAGATTCCAAGCTAATGTCGGATCTTCCACAGTTTAATCAACAGTAAATTAACCCATGGTAATTACAACTGTGGCCTAATTAAGAAGCTAGGGGGACTCATTCCCGAGTGACTCTTCCTTTACTTTAGAAAACCGAATCATTTCTTGCTTTCTTACTGCTTTTAGTTAAAACCACAATCAATCGACTTAGTTGGCTAGATAATAGATATTCACGGAGTAGGCAGTAGATCTAGACCCCGGGTTGATAATTAGAACTTGCCACATTACTGCATTCCCGGACTGCGATTACACTTGGTCGCAGTTTGGTGTTGTGTTTTAGTGTGTCATACCACTTAGACTTCCACTTACCACCAACATGAGCATCCACCGAAAGTCAAACTAGACAACCCATGTCTGACTTAAGAATATCCGGCGACGCCTCATCTCCCATCAGCTCTCCATCAATCAAAATACGAATAATGTGATGCACATCATGTAGAAGGATCGAAATCTCTCCAAAAGGCATGTGGAAGGTGTTTGTGTCCGGCTGCCACCTCTCCACAAATGCCGACAGTAGAGCCATGTCTAAATGTTGCATCATGCACCCTGTCAAGCGAGACAATCCTGTGGCTTCAACCATCTCCTTGGAACCCTCTGCACTCCACTTATATTGCCTCAAAGACTCTACAGCTTTCGGCCTATGGAAGCCGGTCAACACTCCACGGTCCTGCTCAGGAAAAGTCCACAGTACAAAGCCAATGTGACCTCCAAAGCTAGGGATCACATCGGGAATCACTGGTCCATCTGAACTCATCTAAGACTTGGATGTAAGAAACCACGACATATCTTTCCTCGTCAATGGAATCACTCCAATTAGCCTACCATGCCGGTGCGCTCTCTGGTGTAGGAGTACTGGTAGTACCTCGACTAAGAGACAACTGCCCCACAGTAGGGTGGCCGTCAAGACGCACTACATCCGCCTTCTTCTTCTTCCTTCTAACCTTAGGTGGATTTTTTCCTTCATTTTCCTTCCTACCAGTCGCCGTAAGTCTACAACGACGACCTTCTATTCTCTCCTTATTTCTCGCCTTAATCATATCCGGTTTACCCATTTCATGTCCAGACATCTTCAAAAAAAAGTTTGAATTATTAATAATGGAGTACATAAAGTAATTAATTTAAGATTTTCATAATTAAAATTATAAAACTAATAGTTTGAACATTTATGTTACGTTCTATGTAATCATTATTTACATAAAAGTAAATAATTAATCAAGGTAAAATTATTAATAATTAAGTAGATAAACGAATTACTTTGAAATTTTGATTATTAAAATGATAAAAATACATTTTTAATTTTTTTATAATGTTCTTTAGATTTTATATCATTAATTAACATTTATCGAATACGTTTTTTAAATTTTTATATCATTATTGATAAAATATATAACTAAAATATTTTTATTAAGTATATTTTTTAAAAAATTTAATTATTATTAACATTTATTGAATAATAAAAACATGGGTATGCCTACTATGACATGCATGTCACGGTGACATGCACTTTTCGGTCGACCTATTCCTGAAGGCGGTCGACCGAATTGACTAATTTGGGCAGCACGAGAAAGCATTGCGGTCGACCTCAACGACCACTTGGTCGACCGCACTTAGTTTAAGTTGTTATTTTTGGTCGACCAGAATAAAACCTCGGTCGGCCATTTCGTTGGCGTCAGAAACAACATGGTCGACCACCTAAGGTATATAGGTCTACCACTTGATGGCAGTCATTAACAAAATGGTCGACCGGATAAGGAAAGAGGCCGACCAGATAGAAGATAAGTGTTCTATCAAAGTGTCCAATCATTTGACGTAAAATGAAGATCAAGTGTTGGTTTCGCGGTCGACCTAATCCGGTACGAGGTCGACCGAATACAAGAAAGTCAACCTATGCCCCGTGTCTTTTTTGCTTATGTATGTCGATTTGTGTGGTTCTTTTGATCGTATAAATTATGTTTCAAAACATCATAAATAGTCATAAATAATGATAACAAGGACTCATCAATTCATAGCATAACAACTAAACAAACTAACAAGAAATACAATAAAACAGAAATCATAATTGTTCACACATAAAAATAAAACTAAAAAAACAACAGAATAACAATAAAAAATCGTTTTGACCACTTAACAATAAAAACACAGAATCTAAAATCTCCGCGCTCTTACTCATCTCCCCCCTCTCTCTCATCCACATTTTCTTCATTGGTTGTGCTAGCATGAAGGTGGTCGGATGTGGTGGGATGCATGTATCTTCCGCTGAAAGATCGCCACTCATCTCGCATCTCATTCACGGTCACATGCATTGTGCTCATCTGGGCGGTCATTTGCCCCATGTAGTCGTACATGCCAGTCATCTGGGTGGACATCTGGCCCATGTACTCGTACATGCCATCCATGCGCTCCCACACACGCTCTAAGGTGATCGGTGGAGTTGAACTCTGTGCCTCCGCCATTGGCTCGTCTCGAGCTCCTTCATCACCATCATCATCCTCATCATCATCATCATCACCACCACCATGAGCATTGTTTATTCTGACATACTCACCATTACGTAGCTCAAAGCCCATCTTTTTCAGAGATGAAACAGTATAGAACTCCTGCCTTGAGATTCTTAACCCCACCTCTTCACTTAAATTCACATTAAAATGCTCAAATAGCACAGTGAGGATCATCCCATAGGGAAGATTCCTGTTTGAAATCTCTGCAGCAGTAAGAATGTGGTTAAAGATCAAGTATGGCAAGTTCACCTTCTCGTTTAACAGTAGGTTGGTGAGGAGCTCCATGTCGAAGTAGGTGACTGTCTCCCGATGTCCACCCTTTGGCAGAATGTTGTAGGAAAGCATGTGGTGAAGAACTCTGGCTTGAACTGTCAGGTGGTTACTCGTTGGCCTATTGCGACCCTGAGCATCTTCCTCTTCATCAAGACCACATACCGTCTGGATTTGCTTGGCTCTCGTGAAATGCGTTTCATTCCAAGCACCGTAAGAATGGATTCTCTTCCCCTCATTTGGAGCCTCTAAAACATGCGCCAACACATTCTTGCTGATGCGCATCGCCACCCCATTCACATAGGATTTGAATGCGTGAATGGATCCATTTGCATTGCGCTCGTAGACGATGTTGTTGTAGAAGTACTGTACCAGTTTTGGGTAGCATGGTACATTGAGAGATATCACCTTCAGCCACTCTTGCTCGATGAAGGGTCCCAGAAACCCGTAATTCTCGAAATGAGAATACGCATCCGTCGTCAATGGCCTTCCCGGAGCCACCCTGCGGTTGTGCATTCTCTTCTCTTCATAGTTCTCACTTTGCTCCTTGGTCTGGAACAGATTGGGATTGAACTCTTCCCATTCCAAAATTTAGGCAGCAGCTTTTTGTGCCTTTCTTATCTTTTTGCCGCCAAACATCCTGCGATCAAACAAGCAAGAATACACGTTAGTCACATTTTCGAAATGAACAAAACTCGGTCGACCACTCTATAAAGCGGTCGACCTCAGTTAATTTAAAACGAGAATGGGTCGACCTCAGAAGAAGCATAGGTCGACCTCAGTTAATTTAAAACGAAATTGGGTCGACCTCAGAAGAAGCATAGGTCGACCTCAGTTAATTTAAAACGAGAATGGGTCGACCTCAGAAGAAGCATAGGTCGACCTCAGTTAATTTAAAACGAGAGTGGGCCGACCTCAGAAGAAGCATAGGTCGACCTCAGTTAATTTAAAACGAGAATGGGTCGACATAAATCCGTAACAATTCAAGTACAAAATTGCTTTCATAGGTCGACCTCAGAAGAAGCATAGGTCGACCTCAGAAAATTTAAATCGATTGAAAACCAGATGTGACTTTCAGCAGGAGTGCAGTGCAGGACATTAGACCACCTTGGAATGCACTCGAAGACACAAACGTCTGCTGCCTTCACCGAGTTCTCCTTTGCAACCCTATGCCGGCCACCGGCAAGCAAACAACAACAATATAACAAAGAAGACCCTAAAGAACCCGCATGCCCGTTCTTATGGATGTAAGAGAGTTTAGGTTTTAGTGTCTTCTTTGTTATATTGTTGTTGTTTGCTTGCCGGTGGCCGACATAGGGTTGCAAAGGAGAACTCGGTGAAGGCAGCAGACGTTTGTGTCTTCGAGTGCATTACAAGGTGGCCTAATGTCCTGCACTGCACTCCCCATGAACATCTGGCTTTCAATCGATTTAAATGGCCCGAGGTCGACCTCAATATCATCACAGGTCGACCTCAACAAGTTTAGCACAAATAACTCGAACTTTTGCTTTCATCGGTCGACCTCAGAAGCATCATAGGTCGACCTCGGCTAATTTGAAACGAGTCTGAAATGGCCCAAATACTTTTGCTATTGAGTGTAAAACAGATCCGGTCGACC